GGGGGGATAGGAAATGGGGGGTTGGTTACCTAGAAAAGAAATCGTGTAAACTGTGAAAAGGATCCGCATTTGAATAAATTATACAAAATTTTATGACATGCAGCCCGGTATAGTAATTTTATAATGAACAGGATCAATGTAATAAAGTAATCAGGCAAAATAATGAAATGCAATTTCATAAACATATATAACAACGTACACATATAAATAAAAATAAGGAATGATAATTGTAATTATCAAAAACTTTTTCTTATTGATACACAGATTTAAGTTTTGTTAAACCAAAAATAGCAACTGATTCCCACAACTAATAATCACCTGTTTATGGTTATTGACAAATCTGTACAATGCTAGGGTAATTTGCAAAGTTAAAATACACATCAGATACATAAAAACAGCTTTTCAAATATATCAAGATACGGCAATATTCTATTGATGGAGTGTGAGTTTCTGCATAGCTAAATGATACGAAAAGCCAGTATACCGGTTTTCAGATATATTCCTTCGTGGTAGTGAATACCATTTCACATCCGATCGGGGAATCGAACCCCGGCCACCTTGATGAAAGGCGAGTGCGATATCCATTGCACTCGCAATGCGCCACCCGACCACCCATACAGATACGTTGTGAACACTCTATGAGCCAAAGTGGTCAAAGCATTTAGACAGAGGTCAAATGTTAGCGATCTCAACGCACAAATACTATATACATCGTATACACATGTCTTTGCATTTAAATGTAAGATTAACTTTAATCGTAATGTTTATTTGAATAATTGGTGTTTGTATTAAATCGTCACTCCTACCATTAACACTGATCCTTCAGTCTACAGGTCTATCTGATCACAGTAACACACCCAGTGGACGCCGGTCACTACTGGTCACTACAAGATAACCACGTACATGTATATCGTTCGGGTCTAAGCGTGACCATTCCATTCCTTTATACAAACACTAAGGTCTTATTTTTCTAGTTGATGTACGTGGTTTTAATTGGTATGTATAGTTGTTTTTTCTGTTTCACTTCACCGTTATAATTGTGATTAGCTTCGGTTATATTTTGCTCGCTGTAGACATTTTTTCATTTTGTGTCCAGACTTTAACATGATTTTCAATTTTGCTAAATTTTAATCCTGTGTATTCGGTAAAATATTAGGTTTACGACAGGGTGGTTTTGCTATAACATGCGTATTGATTGAAATATTAGGATTGGGACAAGACTACTTGTATATTTCTATAACCTATAGACTCGTATGGATGTTATGGTTAAATAAGGGACCTGTTGCTCGTATACTTGCTGTATAAATTGAGGAAAATGGTGAAAATACATGATTTTTAAAGAA